TGGGGGGGGGCGGGGGCGGCGGGGGGGGGGGGGGCGGGGGGGGGGGGGGAGGAAGGGCTGGCTTCCAGCCTGGGGGTGCAAATCCCCGTCCATCGCTGCCGTAGCTTCCAAAATCAGCCCCGGTCTCATGAGCGTGGACAGGAGCCCATTGCGGTTGAATTCAGCCCTCGACCGCTGTGCGTGGAGCGTGGTCGCGCGCCCGGCCGGGTGCCCGTGTTGCAGAGGGCAGTGGGAGGCCCCTCGGAAGGAGGAGCGGGGTGGTGTTCCCGGCGCTGGCAGCCCAGGCTGGGTGCTCGCAGGAGGCACCGTGCATTTTGGGTCCAGCTCTGCAGGTCTTGCATAATTTCTGCCTAAGCGGGCTCCGGGGAGGTGGTGGCGAGGCTGCCGGCAGGCTGCGGGCCCGTGGGACCCTCCTGAGGCCAGGGGCTGGCTGGAAGGCAGTGAGCCCCTTCATTGCCTCTGGCTAACGATGGCACCCTCAGCACTCCAAAAAGCCCTGCCACAAGAGCGAGGCAGCGCAGCACCACCGCTCCGTGGCACATCTCGCTCCCGGCAGGGATCACGGGAATATTTCTCTGTTCAGATTGTAATACCCCTTTTTTGCAGCAGCTGTGCCTCCTCGCCGTCCCGGCCCTTGCGCTGGAGCAGCCGCCGGCGCGCCGCGCGGTCGGCCGTGGCAGCAAGGAAGGGTCTGTGTCTGCAGGGGGGTCACGCCGCTGCCCTGCGTGGTCAGCTGCGTCCCTTTAGGTAGCAGCGTAATGGATGTCGTTGCACGTCCCCGGTTCGGCTTCAATCAGGCTTGCGAGCCAGGTTTAAATCCAGCTCGTTCACCGGGTCCTGACTCCTTGTGTTTGTGCGGGAGGGATTTTCCACCAGGTAAACGTTAAGGGGAGGATGTCACAGCCCCCTTCCATTTCAAAATCCACCTGGAAGATTTATCCTCGGTGTAAACGAGGGGCTGCTGTCACGGCACAGTGAGATCCTGCCACACCAAATGTTTACCAGGCCGCCGATCTGCGCCAATTTACCAAGGTTTAGTGTCTGGCTCATAATTTTGTGTAATTTATGAAGACAAATTTAAATGAAAGTGCTCGAGCACTTGAATGCCCACTGCTTTGCAAACTAATTAATGGCATACCAGCTGAGACGAGCAGCAGATCGTTTGTGGTGCAGCTCTGCAGCGTGGTCTGTGCAGGAGGGTGACAGCGAGCCAACGGCAAGCAGAGCCGGCAGGTCTCGGAGGAGGGTGTCCGGCTTCTGCAAACCAGATTCAGCGTTTTCTTCCATCTGCCCCGGTCCCGAGCTGCTTTCAGCATCGCTGGATCTTCCTTTGAAAGGAAGGTGCCAAGGAAATTTCTAGCATTGCCCGTGATCACCATTAATTGTTTTCTCAGGGTATTTATCTATCCGGGCAGTTTCAGCTGGAGCTGTAAGGACAGTGTTCCCTGCAGCAGAGGGGTTTCAGGTTTAGATTCCTTCTTTGCTGGAGTAAAGCCTGAAAGGTTTCACATTCTCCACGAAGGCGAAATTTTAAAAGGTAGATCTTTCTAAACCCCCTCTTTTTGAAAGTTCACGTATTTCGCCTTTGATGGGGCATTGTTTTGCCGGGAATGCAGTGTATTTTTAGTGTGTACATGTGAGAATAAAGGAGCAAAGTTATTTGAAAGACTGAAACACCGAAGAGGGGATTTGGACGGCTCTGGAAACTTTCTTTTCTGTTTTTGTTACATTTTTCCGCAAATGCAATTTTCCTCAAACCGGTTTGATTTGGAAGATATCTTATCGTTGGGTGGGCTTCAGGCTGCGGCCCGGAGGAAGGCTGTGCTGGCTGCGCCCGCGCTGCCCCGCTCGGGGCGGGAGATTGGCGTTTGGGCTGCTCAGGGCGGTGGTGCCGGCGGCGCGATGGGTGCGTGCTCGGCGATGCTGGGGCGAGGTGGGGGGGGTCTGAACCCCCCCTTTTATTCTGCTGTGGTGTCTGGGCCATGCCGTCCCCTGGGACGTGCTGTCCCTGGTCCTCCGAGGGTGGGGTTGCTGGGACGTGCTTTCACGTGGCCACGTCTCTGCCTCTCGGTGGCAGGGGCCAGGAGAGGCCCCCCGGGGCCGCGCCACGTTGCTGGGGAGGGCAGGCAGGACGCGGGGTGCCCCGGTGGGACTGCACGTAGTGGGGCACAGCCAAAGGGAGATGCTGGCGGAGGAGCTGAGCAGGCGCGGAGGTCCGGAGGTGATCCGTCCCCAACCTCGCGGCCGTGTGCTCAGGACGAGGAAGGCCTCGGCGCGGAGTGAGGGCTCTCCATCGCATGTGAGTCAGGCAGCGGGAATCCCGACTGGATCTGCTCCATGGATCCAGCCTTGAGTCGGATTTGCAGACCCGTACCCTGATGCCATGAATTATTCTTAACCAGCAGCCCTCTGTGCCTCAGACGAGAGCCAAGATGATGCTGAGTCAAGTGGTAGCACTGTGCGAAACCCTTGACTTGAAACTCAGAAGCTCTCTGGAGCCACGAGCCTTTTTTCCCCACAAAGCCTGGGCTGCTCCTGTGAACACAGCCTGCAGCTGGAGATTTCCCTCCCCATCTCTGAAGCCTTTGCCAGGGATGGGTGTAACGTTTACTGTCCGTGCTACCAGGGGGCAGGGGAGATGCAGGGAAGCGTTTTGTGCCCTGATGCAAAGCTGAGGACGAGCGGTCAGTGGGTGGGTGCGCGTGGCTGTGGTCTCCCAGTGGGATGCGAAAAGGCTTGTGGAAACGGTTCCCACCGGCATGTCGGGAAGGAGTTTGTCTTCCATCTCCCTGGAGTGTGTCCAGCCCCTGTCCTGCTTGTTTCCCTGCACAGCTAAGGAGGGCGCAAGAAAGGCACGTCTCTTCTCAGCACCAGCACCACAAAGAGCAGCGGGTGCCGAGCAGGGACAAAGCGCAGTCACCGAGGGCACCCTGTCCAGTGGCACCCGTCCCTGAGACACTGGAAAAGCTGGAGGGAAGCAGGGCTGGGGGATGCTCAAGTGCCTCGGGGATGCCTGCCCTCGCGGGGCGTCAGGTACCTGCAGGAGCCCCGGCCAGCCCGGCAGCTCCGGCTCTCGCGGGGCCGAGCCCCAGCCCTGCTGATGGAGCCGTCCCTGGCGGCAGGAGAGCTCGGGCAGCTCTGCGAGGGTGCAGCAGCGCGGGCCACGGGATCCGGCTGTGCCTGTCCCTGCTCGGGGGGTTCACCTGGGCAGAGCTCCCGGTGCCCTCAGGAAGGGCTGCTGTGAGCGAGCCAGGGGCAAACGCAGTCTCGCTCTGTGGGTGGGACTGGGCAGGCACCCGCTGCTCGTCCCTCTGCAGACGAGGGTGACGATGGCCCTTCCAGAGCTGCCGGGCATTTGCCCAGGCCTTCTCCTCTGGCATTAGATGCAGGTGCCTTTGCTGGGTGCTGCCATCCCAGCCCCCATGGCAATGATGAACAGCGTGTGCCCCCCGGGACCCCCTGGCTCTTTCCAGCAATGGCCAGAGGAGCGCAGATGAGGGGTTCCCCTCCTGGGCACCTCTGCTAAGTGCCCAGCTGGCCGGGGTTATCCGGGCCTCGGGCTGCGCTCTCGGTGAGCGGGAGCAGCAGCAGAGGCCACACAAGCGGTTTCGAACGTGGTTCCGAGTTGTGGTGGACAGGGAAGAGCTCAGAGCAGGGTGCAGCTCTGGTCCCGGTGGCAGGAGGGGACACATCCTGCCTGTAGAGCAGCTTCTCGCAGGGGCGAGCAGGGCGTCCCCGGACACCCTGAGCAGGGCTGCCGGCAGCCTGGGCACCCTCTGCGCCGCTGTGGGGGTGCGGGGCGGTGGGGCGAGGATGCTCCCGCGCAGGGCACGGGGTGGCTGCCCGCCCGCCGGAGCCCAGCGTGAAGGCAGCAAAGCAAAATCAGCCGGTTGGTACCACAGGGCTGCCTGGAGACAGCGAGCGATCCCCGTGCCACGTGG